GGGGATGCAGGGTGTCGTGCTGGGGGTGGAGGAGGCACCAGGTGTGAGGGGAGTAGGCCAGGGATTGAAGGGGGTTGCTGGGCACAGAAGGGGTGCTGGGGGCGGAACCTAAAGGGCAGATGGAGGGGTGACACAGCCAGCGTCATCCCCTCTTCGACTGATCAAAACTGCCAAGGCAGCTGCTCCAGGAATCTGCCAACCTGGCTGGACACGGGTCAGCCTGGCGCCCAATGTCATGTCCCGTGATGCTCGTTCGGAGAGCGGTGCCAGCTGGCAGCTGTAGAACAGGTGGGACGGCCGCCCCATCCCATCCCCTCCCCGCTGGAGCGGGGTCTGAAACAGGGCAGAGAAACGGGCCTTAAATAAAGTCACTGAGCAAAGTGCTACACGGTGCGGTGGGTTTTCCGGGGCTATCTCGGGGCTCCCACAGGGTCTGATAAATCGGAGAGGGGTCAGAGAAGAGCTGCAGGGAGGATTAAAGGATTCGAAAACCTGCTTTACAGGGAGAGACTCCAGGAGCTCAATCTATTTAGCTTAACCAAGAGAAGGCTACGGTGGGACTTGATCCCAGTCTGTGAGTACCCACATGGGGAACAAGTATTGAATAATAGGTTCTTTACACTAGCAGAGAAAGGCCGAACACGATCCAATGGCTGGAAACTGAAGCTAGCCACATTCAGACGGGAAAGAAGGTGCACGTTTTTAACCAGGAGAGTAATTAGCCACTGGAACAATTTCCCAAGGATCATGGTGGATTCTCCATCAGACACCATTTTTTAATCAAGACTGGACGTTTTTCTAACAGCTCTGCTCTGGGAATTCCTTTGGGGCAGGTCTCTGGCCTGTTACAGAGGTGGGATGATCACCATGGTCCCTTCTGGCCTTGGAATCTATGAATCTATGAACTCCAAGGGTAGACAGCCCCATAGTTTCCCGCATCAGTAAAATGGGAGGTGCTCGGAGCTCCTCAGCTGGGAAGCGTCTTAAAGAGCGGGCCTGAGTCGCTTTCACCCTCAGGCATCGGCGGCGACTCCGTGGGTGCTCTGGGGCTGCAGCACCCATGGAAAAAAAACAGGCGGTGTTCAGCACCCCCCGGCAGCCCCGTGGATCAGCTCCTCCCCCACCCAGCCTTCCCACCCGCCAGTGGCCCCGCCAATCAGCTCCTCCCCCTCCCTCCCAGTGCCTGCCGCCCACCATGATCAGCTGTTCAGCAGTGTTCAGGAGGTGCGGGGTGGGGGGGAAGGGGAAGGGTGGGGGGCAGGAAGAGGTGGGGCGGGGGATTTGGGGAAGGGGTGGAGTGGGGGCTGGGCCTGGGGCAGAGCGGTGGTCAAGCACCCTGCGGGAACTGGGGAAGTCGACACCTATGCCCTCAGCCCGTTTACCCAGCTCTGGCAGTGTAAGGAGAGCGTCTACGTCACCCACTTCAAGCCCTGCGCGTTGCTGCCTGTTGCTTGTAAGCTCATTGGCACAGGGCCCAGCCCCCACGGTGATGGGCAGTCTGACTACCTAAGCAGACAGGACTGGCCAGGGCATAGGGATAACGTTGAATTAGAAGGGGCCACAGGGCCACAAGGAGGGATTCTGATCTCACACCACAGTCTTCAATGCCCTTGCTCTCGATTTACCAGCATACGGGCGATCAGAACCAAACCTACAGCTGCTAAGGCCAGCCGGAGTCGCTCTGATCGGTTAGTCTGACCTCCAATCTAACACAGGTCACAGACAGCCACCCAGGGGTACCTGCCACAGAGGGAATTATTTATATTATTACCCGTTAGCATGTTAAAGCAGCAGCAGCCAGACACCAGCTCAGGTCGAAAAAGCCTTTCTAACAGCCCCTGTGGCCATGCTGCTCCCGACTCCGCCTGACCTTGCTCTGCTGAGATCACAGCGGCCAGGTGCTCACATGTAGCCGCAGCCTTACCGGGGTTAAGCTGGCTTCCGACTACAACGCAAGGGCACAGTGTCCTGCAGGGCTCTGGGAATCTGGCAATAGCCCTTTGGCCTTTCCCCAGGGCAAAACCTGACTGTCCTCTTGTTTTATTCCAAACAATTCCGTCTGCGGTTGTGCCACCGGGCGCTGGAGTCCGGTTTCAGAGGCTGAGTGTGTGCAGGCTGGGTTGGAAAGTTGGATAGGAGACCTCCGAGTGCCACCCACCCAGATCTGCAGGAAGCAATGCTGGAGGATTCGATAGGTGGCGCTCTCCTTACTGGGTCAGCACAGGGCACTAGGGAGGGCTGCGTGGCAGGCGTAACACACACAAGCCCCCGTCACTAAAGATCCCCTAGTGCTTGTTAGCCCGAGTCCCAGCCAAATTCCAGCCTGGGAATTGCGATGTTGCCTACCTAATATTCCTCCTGCAGTTACGGTACCCGGGCCCTGTCCTAAACGATTATAACAGCTGCTGCAGCCCTCCCCAGAGGTGGCCACATTTGAGCACTAGTCAAACCGACCTGTACGGGTCTGTAACATTTACCCAGCGCTCTGGGCTGCGAAGCACTGTAGGAGCATCCACGTCGTAGCCCTGTCGTGTTTTTTATATTCTTTTGGTGGGGGGGAAAGCAGGCCCAGTAGCCGAAACCCATCCTCCATCAGGATCGTGCATGGAGCCATGATAGGAGACAAGTACAAGAGCAGATGTTCCAGGCAGAGAAGGCCTCTCAACGCACTAGGAAAAGGTCCCTTCACCTACCTACAAGAGGAACACGTGCCCTACAGCCCAGAAAAGCAGGCACTGATCCCACATGGGCAGCCCGTCTCCTCCAACGCAAGCCGGAGGTGAGAATGCAGAGCCCAACGAGCAATGGCCGAAGAGGGCAAGCCAGCCCCGCGCCCCTTCAGCGAGCCGCTTAGAATATTAGCTTTGTGGTTAGATCAGCCTTGTGCCCCATGGAGAAATCTACCGCCCGGGAGCAGGGCTTCCAGCTTACCTTCCCCTGGCAGTCCAGGACGCTGCCTTTCCAGGCTGGGCGAAAGTAGCAGCAGCGCAGTGCTGAGGCAAGGGATACCGCCAGTGAAGTGTGTGAGATCAGCATTTTATTATTTTAGCTCCAGCCGGGCAAAGGGGAGGGTGGGGGAGCGAGATCACATAGACAGGCTGGTTATCAATCACTCCAACTGCCCAGCCGGTTTTCCCAGAGCCCTGCAGACCCCCAGTGGTCAAATGCCAGAATTGCCACTTGAAGGGGGCAGCTCTCGGTGCTTTGCAGGTGGGGAGGGCATGAGATGAGGCCTTAGCAGCAGGAAGGGCTCCTGCCGATCAGAGCCAGCCACACAGGCATCCTGGCAGAGCTGAGAAGAGAGGACCCCTCTCGCTCCAGACTCCACGCAACCGCACTGGGAATCCTGGCTTTAGCTCAGGATCAGACACGGCCTGGATCAGACAAGCGGATGAGACTGAGAGCTCTGTGAGGCAGCGATCGTCTCTTTGATGTGCCCGTACCACACTGAACACAGTGGACTGCTGGTCCGTGCCTGGGGGTCCCAGCTGCAACCATAATACACCTAATAAATAACATGCAGCACCCAGCACAATGGGGTCCTGGTCCATGACTGCACCTCCCAGCTGGTACCGTAGTACACCTAATAAAGGTCCCTTCTGGCCTGTAATCTATTAAACTGAATTAGAGAAGAGAAACAGAAGGGAGGTGAGGGGGTGAGGGGCTGATTTATGAGGACACCTTAATGGAGGTGTGGGGTAAGGAAAGAAGGATGAGCTTGCAGTTAAGGCCCTGGACTGGGACTCTAGAGATCTGGATTCAATTCCCAGCTCTGACTCCCCGTGTTAGCGTGAGACCTCGTGCCTCAGTTTCCCTATCTGTAAAATGGGGATAATGCTAAATCCCTGGGAGGGTCAATACACGACCATAGGCAAAGCATTCAGCTACTTTGGGGACGGGGCTGGATAAGACGCTAGCCAGGCAGAACTAAGCTGTACCCTGTGGGCAGGGGATGGGGCGGGGGAGGGGGACGATGATAGCCATCTGCAAGGAGGAAGAATTGCTTGGGGAGTAACTAGGAGCGAGAGAGAGAAATTTAAGCTGAAGCTCAGGAATGGCTTGTTAACAAGCTCTCCGGTGCAGCAGACTCATCCCCCAAGGCGCGGAATCCCCAGGGCCCGAGACATTTAAAACCAGAGTGGAGTAGAGAGGGGGCAGGGATCAAGCTGGCAGTGGATATAGGCAGGAAATCGGAGGGGCTGGGGCAGGGAGGGCGACTGAGGAAATCGCCTTTGGAATGGGGGGGTTCTTTTATTTCCCTTCTCTCCTTATTGAAGCAGCTGGGCTGGCGATGCTGCCTGAATAACACGCTGCTCTGGACCTCCCAGGGGTGTTACTGACAACACTTATCAGAGCCCTGCAGGCTGGCCAAGCCACACTAGCAGGAGGCAGACACCAACTAACCTGTCTGCGACACGGAACCGCCTGTACTTCACAGCCCTGCCAAGGCTCCAGGCAGCGCCACAAGTCAGGGTTTCAGCGCAAACCGCTCCTTGCGCCTCTGGCTTTTGCAATGGGAGTTTTACCCTGCCTGCAGTCTCAGCTAGAACCAATTGAACGTCACCTGGTGCCTGACGCTCTCCACTGGCACTGCCCCTGCTGTAGCTGATCAGTGAGAAGGGGACATTAGGCTGCAGCAGAATCCGGCCTCTTTCACCGGCTCCTCCCCTCCCTGCAATGAGCCACACAGTCCAGACAGCGTCTGTCCTGTCATTTTATTATCTTTCTAAACGGTTAAACAGGAGGCCCCATTTCCGAGCTTAAAATCCATCCTGCTCCTTACAAAATAAGCGATTCCCACCCACTGCATGCCTCTGCTGGTGCACGCTGGTTTGGCTTTTGTAGGGGCTTCTGGGAGGGTTGGGCTGTGCACAGTGGTTTGTTTTTGTAGGCTGCTGGGAACAGCGGGCTGGACATGCTGTTTTGTCTTTTGAAGCGTCTCCCAGGAGAGAGGGGCTGTGCACACTGGTTTGTTTTTCGTAGG